GGGGGGGGCCGGTACCATGGGGGGGACAGGGGAGGACAGGGGGGACAGGGGAGGGACAGGGGGGACAGGAGGGGACAGAGGGGACAGGGGAGGGACGGGGGGGACACGGGGGAACGGGGGGGACACGAAGGAACGGGGGGCACAGGGGAGGGACAAGGGGGACAGCGGCCGGTACCAACCTGAGGGGGCCGGGGGGGTGCGACCGGTACCACTGGGGGGGGGGGGGGGGGGGGGCGGGGGGGGGACAAACTGGGGGGGAAGAGGGAACCAGGGGAGGGGGCTGGGAGGAAACCCCCCCGGGGAGCCTGAGATGGGCCAAACTCCACCCCAGAATGGGTTAAAATCCACCCCAAAATGGGTCAAAACCCCACCATGAAACAGGTCAAAAATTCGGCCTAAAATGGGTCAAGAATTCACCCGGAAATGGGTCAAAATTCACCCGGAAACGGGTCAAAATCCATCCCAAAGTGGGTCCAAAATTCAGCCCAAAATGGGTCCAAAATTCACCCCAACACAGGTCAAAATCTGACCAGAAATTACTCCAAATCCGTCCTGTAATTGGTTAGAATTCCATGAGAAATGGGTCCAAAATTCCCTCCCGGAATCAATCCAGATCCATCTCAAAATGGGTCAAAATCCATCCCGAGACCCCGAATGGGATGAAAATCCCCAAATCTACCCTGAAACGGGTCAAAATCCACCTGGGAATGAACCAAAACCCACCTGGAAACAGCTCCAAAATCCATCCTTGAAACGAGTCCAAAATCCATCCTGAAGTGGGTGAAAAATCCCCAAATCCACCCTGAAACGGGTCAAAATCCACCTGGGAATGAGCCAAAACCCCCCTGGAGGCAGCTCCAAAATCCATCCTTGAAACGAGTCCAAAATCCACCTTTTTCCCCCCCAAAAAAAAACCCGCTGGAATTTGCTCCGTGGGTTTGTTCCTTTCCCGTGTTATCGATCCCTTCCCGTCATCATCAAAAACAAAGGCGCCAAATTTTCCTGGGATAAACCGGGGGGGGGGAAATCCGGTGGGATCCGACATTCCAGGTGATCCCAGTCCCTTCCCGAGTGGTGCTTCCCCCCATCCCAGTGAGCGACCGGGAGGGCCCAGTGGGCTCGGGAATCGCCCCGTGTCCCCGTCCGGCTCCGTTATCCCGCTTTTCCCCTCGGGAAGGCGCCGCCATGTCCCTGTGCCAGCGGGGGATGAAGCAGAGCCCGGGCGAGGCCGAGGGCTGTTCCTTCCCGGCCGGGCCCGGGATCAAGGTGTTCCTGCACTGGAACGGGGAGGAGGAGCGGGAACGCTGCCGGGTTTATTCCCAGGGATCCCTCAGCGCCGAGGAAATCTGCATCGACCTCGCCCGCAGGATCGGTGAGCGCCGGGAAGGACGGATCCTGGCGGGGAATTCCAGGGGTTCTGGTTCCCAGGGGACGCTGAATCCCGCTGGATTTCACCCCCGGGCCGGGAAATTCCCGGTTCCCGGGAAGCTCGACTGGATTTGTGCTGCTGGAATGGGTGGGAAGGACGGGGTGGACAAGGGGTGTCGTGGTGAAACCCTTGGAATTCTGTCCCGGCAGGAATCACCCCGTTGTGTTACAGCCTCTTCGCCCTCTACGACCCCCAGGGCCGGGTCTGGCTCCCCCCAAACCACCAATTCCAGGTGGGAAAAGACACCAACGTCCACCTGATCTTCAGGATGAGGTGAGGCCTCTTCCCTCCCAGCCCGGGGCTTTTCCAGAGCTGAGCCCTGGGGACCATTCCCGGGTTTGTGCTGGAGGGAACGTCTGGTTTTCCCACCTCTTTGCTCCGGGGGTTACGTGTTTCCAGGTTGTCCATGTCCAGATTTCCTTGGAAAAGCCGGCAGGGCTGGTCCAAGTGAGGAATGTTCTGGGTTTGGAACCTTGGAAAACCCAGCAGGGCTGATTCAAATCCCATTTGTGTGGATTAAATAAGGAATAGCCCTGGAAAAGCCGGCAGGGCTGGTCCAGATGAGGAATATTATGGATTTAGAGCCCCTGCCTCTCCTCCAGCCCGGAAAAACCCGTTTCCTTATTCCAAGTATTTCTCCCTGTGGCTCCTTGTTCACTCTCCCACCTCTCAGCCCCATCCAAAGGTTTTTGGGACCAATAGGGAACATCCAGGGGCTGTTTCCTCTCATTTCCCAGTCCGGATTCCCCCCCTGTGCCCAAATCCCACTTTTTTTATGGATGTGACCGGTTTTCCTGTGCTTTCAGGACCTTTTATTCCTAAAAAAAAAACCCCAAACCCCACGGGTTTGAGCCCGGAATGTGACTCCTGGCTCAGCCCCAGCCCCTCTCCCTCTGCTCCTCCTCCCATTCCAGGTACTATTTCCGGAACTGGCACGGGATGAACGACAAGGAGCCGGCGGTTTTTCGGAATGTGCCTCGTCCGGGAGATTCCCTGGAGGAAAAACCCTCTGGAGGAGCTTTGCTGGACAGATCCTCCTTCGAGTACCTGTTTGAGCAGGTAACGGGGCTGGGGCTGGGAAAAACCGGGAGGAATTCCCTTAAATCCAGCGGGATTTGGGAAAACTGGGATGAATTCCCTGAAATCCGTCCGGATTTGGCTCCGTCCTGTTGCCAGGATCCGTTTTTTCCATCCCCAGGTGTTTATTTGAAGGATAAACACCTCCTTCAGTTTTGCCTTTGGAAAGGTTTTATCCTGCTGGAAGCTTCGCTGGGTGGGATTCTGGAATTTTTTCAGGGATGATTTGGTCTGGGAAGGGATTTTAATTCGGGTTGGTTTTATTTAAATCTGAAGTTAAATTTTTATTGGTTTGTTTTTATCCCACCGTTAAAATTAAGGGTGGCACAGTAAAGGAATATTACCTTAACTGATTAATTTAATTTAGTTTAATGAAAAGAGGGAATTAATGGAAAATCCCTGCGGGAAATCAGCTCAGGGATGTGGTTTTTCCCCAACCATCCCATTTTTTTTACCAGGGAAAATTCGAATTCATCCACGACGTCGCCTCCCTGAGGGATTTCCAGAGCGAGCCCGAAATCCAGAGGTTCAAGAACGAAAGTCTGGGAATGGCTGTGCTTCACCTCTCCCACATTGCCATAAAAAAGGGCATTTCCCTGGAGGAAGTGGCCCGGAAATACAGGTGACTGGGAATTCCTGCTTTGCCAAAGGGGGTTTTCCCTCTCCTTTTCCCACCCTTTTCCCTCCTCGTTTTCCTCACTGGAAGCGCCCCCAGGGTCCCATCCCTGGAACTTGGGATGCCCAGAGAGCCCCAGGAAAAGCCTGTGGAGAATCCGGTGTGGGACAGATTGGGATGGGAATGGGTTGGAATG